TTAAGATCGGGTTAAAATAGTGCAAAACAAAGTTGCTAAGGCAGTTAGGTGAAATACTTACAGGAACAAATAAAAAGAGTATAACTTTGACGAAGAATCAACAGGTAGGCTGTTATTAAATTGCATAATTAACATAAAATATTTTTTATACAGGGGAAAACGTACGTTGTCCCTTCGGAATATCGAGAATAAACTACTTTGTTTTATAAAACAATGCAATTATATTTTAAAGTAATTATATTTATTATAACTATAATAATTCGTTTTGGTTCGTTTACCAATCAATATTTTACATTCTAAGAAGCATATTTTATATTAGATAACATCAACAAAGCATTAATGTGTTCCCTCGAAATATCCCATAGATAAAATCTTAAGTTTATTTGGATATCGTAATATACAACATCGCTGTCGTATTCATATTTCTTACATTTGAAAAAATCGTGATAAAAATAAAATAATATCTTTTAAAATACCGGGCGGTAATTTCTAAGAGAAAATCCAGCAATTTCATTGAGACAAAATATTCATTTAATCTTGTCTTATCATTCTATTGTTTAAATTAACAAAATAGACGTTCCTCATTCTTCCATAAATATAGATCATTAGGAAGTCGAGCGATTCTTGATGATTTTTCTGTTTTGACTTATACAGGGAAGAACGTGTGTTACCCCTTCTGAATACTTTTGCAGTAATTCTATGTAAAAATAATATCTTTTAAAATACCGGGCGGTATTTTCTAAGAGGAAATCGAGCGATTTCATTAAGACGAAATACTCATGTTACCTTGTCTTAACCCTACTGTTTGAATTAACAGAATAGACGTTCGCTATTCTTGTATAAATATAGATCATTAGGAAGTCGAGCGATTCTTGACGATTTTTCTCTTTTTGTGTACCTATTCAGATAAGAATGTGTGTTATCCATTCTAAATACTTTTGTACTAATTCTATGTAAAAATAATATCTTTTAAAATACCGGGCGGTATTTTCTAAGAGGAAATCGAGCGATTTCAGTAAGGCAAAATACTCATTTAACCTTGTCTTAACCCTACTGTTTGAATTAACAGAATAGACGCCCACTATTCTTGTATAAATATAGATCATTAGGAAGTCGAGCGATTCTTGATGATTTTTCTCTTTTTGTGGACTTATTCAGATAAAAATATGTGTTATCCCTTCTAAATACTTTTGTACTAATTTTATGTAAAAATAATATTTTTTTAAATACCGGGCGGTAATTTCTAAGAGCAAGTCGAGAAATTTCATTGAGACGAAATATTCATTAAACCTTGTCTTAACCCTACCGTTTGAATTAACAGAATAGACGTTTGCTTTTCTTGTATAAATATAGATCATTAGGCGTCGAGAGATTCTTGATAATTTTTCTATTTTTACGGACTTATTCAGATAAGAATGTGTGTTATCCCTTCTAAATATTTTTGTACTAATTCTATGTAAAAATAATATCTTTTAAAATACCAGGCGGTATTTTCTAAGAGGAAATCGAGCGATTTCATTGAGACGAAATACTTATTTAACTTTGTCTTAACCCTACTGTTTGGATTAGGCAGATTAGACCTTCATTATTCTTGCATAAATATATATCATTAGGAAGTCGCGACTTTTCTTGATGATATTAGTTTTTTATCTGCATTTATACAGAAAATAACGTGTGTTATCATGCGATTTTTTCAGTAATTCTATACAAAAATAATGTATTTTAAAATACCGGATTGTATTTTCTAAGAGGAAATCGAGCAATCTCACTTGAGACGAAACACTCATTTAACTTTGTATTTTATGTTCCTACTTTATGAATTACGCAGAATAGACGTTTACTATTCTTACATAAATATAGATCCCACGTTGGGCGCCATATAATTATGTAACGTACAAAGGTTTCAATTGGTTACACAGCTCCGGCAACTCATTGGTTATGGGTGAACTGGGTCGTAGATCAGACAAAACACTATCAATTCGTAGACATATAATGATTATCACAATTATTACCCAGTTTTGGTTCTAGAGTTATTTTAGAGTTATTGATTTAGGCGCCACTGGGGGCAAATTAAGAAACTTACTCTAATACCAACACTAGGTCACTTCCCCCCAGCAAAGATAATGTGAAGATCAATCCCCTACCTAATATGGCTGTGACCATAAATATTCAAATATATGTGTACACTCTTATGCTAAAGTCTGGGACTTTGTATTGATGGGAAATAAAATGCGTTACTTTTCTGAACGTTTTTAATTGTGACGAATGACAATAATCTTGCTCCCGTGAGCCAATCCACTAGGAGTCAATGCCAGACGGAAACCACTTTGTGACCGGCAAACCCCGGCAGTACGTCCCAAGGGTTGTGGTTGTTCCTCTAACACTGACGTCCATCGACGTCCGGATCCAATTGGTGTCAGCAGGACCCCCCCAACCTGTATACCGGGGTATGAAAGCCACAAGAGCCTCCCTCTGACATCCACTCATATTGGATGAAATAAAGTTATAATTTATAGTTATATCGATATTTTTAAAGTTACTTTTAACAATGCGGTTTAATATTAAATTAAATACTAAGTGGTTTATGGCAAAATACCTAGGGCTCGTCACCGTTGCCCTCTGTGCACAGAAGTCAGCGATTTACAATTTTGTAAATCAAAACAGAAGTATGAGGTTAAATTTGGACAAATAGTTCTAAAGTTTATACAAAAAAATTAATAAATGAAGTTTTATAATACTCAAGTTCTGGTCATTCAGCCACAATTAACTGGTCTCAGGATCTCGTCGCCACCGCCTTAGGCTAGAGCTAGGTTGGTACCTACTCTACATTTCTCACCAGTTTTCCACCGATCCATCATGTCTCTTAAGATGTTTTTCTTTTTTTAATTAGGTGATAGCCAAGCTATACACCCCTCCTCTGCGGAATTTACTCTATTCAATTTCTTCCTGTATACCATATATTGAACTTTATATTTCGTTTTTTATATTCTGAACTTTATATCCTATATACTGAACTTTATATTTTGTATCGTTTGTATCCTATATACTGAATTAGCCGGCTGAAAAGAAAATGTCTGATCAGCTAGGAGCCATGAGGCAATGCCGGTAAAAAAATATATTATAAGGAGAGCTGAAGGCGAGAAACTATTGTAAACAAGATTACTAACCTTATTGTGTTATTTTCACAAAGTGAAAAGAAAGTTGTATCAAAGCGTTTTTAAATTTTCTAACTTCCCTAAGCCAAAGTCGCTGCTAATTTATTAGATGTCTTCTAGGGCTTGTCAGCTTCACAAGACAAAATGGCCAAGAACCAGGAACCGTTGCACCTGTCCTCTTTCGCCAATTGCGCATGAGCGGTAATACAAATTGATAAAACAAAAGGTCTCTTAATTTCCTGATTTTTAAAGCGGGAAATTTAAATATTCTCTACAGTTCACCTATCTATAATAGAATTAAATTGACTCTATAATAATGACCATATTTCTTATGATTTTAACTTTACTCCTTAAATAATAACCAAATGACGTTTTCTTAAAAAAACACTGTTTTGAATTTGAAATATAAGTTAACGCGTTGTTGACTGTAACCAAGGCCTCGAAACGACAGAACAGGCTTTTATCAACTACCCTTTGCAGAGTAGACCAAATGATTCTAAGTTTTTTGACAATAAAAACTTAACCTAACTATTGTGAATACTAAATGATTTGATATTGTCCTAGAATTAAATAAAATGACTAATGTTGCGAATTTAAATGAGTGAAATAAGTGGCGTAGTTGTAGTTGGAGAACCAGGATAGAACCTGTGATGTGATATTACGGATAAACGTTTAAAATCTTACTTTAAGGTGAGTTTATTTAAATAAAATTGTGACATGATTGAAATAGCATGTTACAAGGAAGTCAAGCGATTCTTGATAATTTTTCTGTTTCTATGGATTTATACAGGGATGAATGTGTGTTATCCTTTCTGAATAAAAAATTATTAGTTTTCTTTGACTAATAAATGTTTTTAAAAATAATAAAAAAAAATACATACGATCTTTTGTGTATTTTATAAAAATTGCATGCAGTGAAATCTTTCCTCTTGAAGTTCTGAGTAGTACTTAAAAGCAATCGAGCGATTTGTGATTTTATTAAGACGAAAAAATATTTTCTTGTCTTTATTGGTCCTACTGTTTGAGGTAATAAGCAGAATATAGACGTAGAGAACATATTAGAAAGTCGAGAGACTCTTGATGATGGTTCTGGTTTTTTTGGATTTCAATGTAAATTAATATAAAAATAGAAAATACAATTAGATTGCAATGTTACTCTTTATGAAGAAATCGTTGTTCGTTAGAATTAATTAATTACGTTTATAATGTTTACATAAACAATTATACAGAAAATCACCTTTTCTTACTCTGAACATCTACAATGTAATTATATCAAGGACAAGCGAAGGAAAATTAAAAAATTAATCGATTTACCTTAAGGACGATTAATTGTAATTTTCCGAGCTTGTCCGTAGATATAATTATTTCCCATCCCACTTTAATATATGTGGATGCATATTTAGTTCCCAGATATAAGGTGATTTTCGTAACACGCACTTCAACAGAATGATATGCAGGTTTGGTATAAGATAGGGGCAGTGAATGTGGGGCATTTTGTTTACTCTAGAAAAAAATACGTGCTGATGAGTAGGTTTCAAGGAAACTACAATGTAATTATATCTACGGACAAGCTCGAAAAATTACAATTAATCTTCCTTAAGGTAAGTCGATTAATTTTTTAATTTTTAATACATATTTTTATTGTTTTCACACACTGATGTATTTCTTTCAATTTTTACATAATATTTAGTAAGTACACCACTCTCAGCCTTCTAATTCATTTCAATTTTTGGCGAAATTCGTGCACGTTCTGTAAAATAGGGTTGAAATAATGATCGATCATTATGAAAATTATAATGATAGTTTCATACTGTATTGTTTAACAAAACTTAATGTACTACTTACTTTTCCAGTCCTACGAAAGCTTCATGATCGATGTTTGCGATTTTATTCTCATACAATGTAAGTATTTCCAAAGTATCGAGACCTTGGAATGCTTTGGCGTGCAGATTGGTTACTTTGTTGTGGTTTACGTTTAAAATTAATAGTTGATGCAGGTTTTTAAATGCTTGAGAAGGGATTTGGCTTAAGCTATTTTGGGATACATCTAGTTGAGTTAACATTTTACCTAAAAAATAATTAATTAAATGAATACGTCGTTTTTTAAGTAATAAATGTTGATTTTTTTTTAATTGGTCATAAAAAAATTTCGATAGATTTTCCAGACTCGCCGATTTTAATTTCTAACGAAGCAAATTTTTGGTATAAAAATGGAACCTCTATAAATCCTTTGAAATTGTTAAGGTAAAATTCTATTTTGAATGGTGTAAAGATACTTAAACTTGAACAGCACTTGACTAAATCAAAAGAAAATTAATCGATATTTGTTTTAACTGTAGCACCTGCATAGGCTATGTGACACATCTATTTGTATTAAAAAAAAAATAATATTTTCAAAGTCATCGTTAATTACAACAATGAAGGTTAGAAAAACGCTAATTTCTTTTAAGTAGAATGTAACATACCAATTGAACTCAGTGAGGCTTCTTCTACGACAGACATACTACTGTTGTGAATAGTTAGGTGCCTGATATCTAAACCGAGGAAAATGAATCCTGTCAATTTCTTGAGATTGTTATGTCTCAACTTCAAATAGAAAATAATCAGAGATTTTCCCTTGAGTTTTCCCATAGCGTCGATTATATGCTGCTGGTCCGTAAACTCGCAGAGAATATCCAGTCCATTCTTCTTCACCGTGCAGGAACACGGAGAAATTTCTCCTGGCGGAGGACATTGTTGTTGACCCTGTAAAGATAAAATGTGATTAGCCTTAATTTGGGAAGGGTACAAATAAAACATTTTTTTTATGTTTTTTAAGATAATAAAACCAATTTCGAATATATAGAAATAATAAAACAAATATTTTAAGTTTATATATTCTTTGTAGAAACTTTCGGTAGGTAAATATTAAAAATTGTTCTTAAAATTTTTAAGATGATGGAATACACTTAATACTACATCCGTTTAGTAACAGGTTAGACGCAGCTGAACAAGATCTGTAATATTTTCGTTGAAAGTGATTTTTTTATAAAATTTAGTTCTTTTATCAAACAAAATAAACTATGAAAACTGATTTTGTAAAAATTGATAAAAAGATTCAATAAATAGAGTTTAGCTTTGAATCGACGACTAACCAACTAAATCCCACTGCTCTTATCAGATGTAACAACGAAGAGCAATAAAAAGTGTTAAACTAATGTATTATTAGAGAAAAGGTAGCACTGTCGCCAGTCCCAGGCGAGTATTTTCATGCCTGGTTTTGGAAGGGTCCCGGAGAATCGGTCGAAAATAAAAGATCGAATACGAAATATCGAACGGACAAGTATTAAAAGTAATTACAAAAAACCGACTTCAAAATCGTGCAGATGTCATCACCACATCTTAACTAAATGTATATGGGATCACCCCTGAGGTACTCCCTTACAAACAAAAAAAGGATCCTAGAAATCGGACAAGGTGGTAAAGAATTATCGCTAAACATGTATGAAAAATGAAGAGTTTGAACATTTTATCATAGACCCCATTATTATATTTTTACTTAATTTATACAGCATTACCTCTGAAGTACTCCCTTTCTAACAAAAGAAGAATCATTGAAATCGGACACTGTGTTGAAGAATTATCGCTAAACATACATAAAAAAAATATACCGACGAATTAAGAACCTCCTCCTTTTTTAAAATGAGTTAAAAATGTCGAAAAAATAACACAGCCCCACAAATAAAAAAAAAAGTGTAGACTTGCTGATTGGACATATGTATTCCCATGTAGTTTCGATGCTGACTCCGATCCCGAGCTCAGAAATGGCCCTCCACGTCTGGAATTGGCCCCAGGGGCAAAAAATGGCCTATATATGGCCTGAAAGGTGGATTCCGAGATGAGGCGTGGTTGAAGGTGCATTCTAAAGTCGGGTTTGTGGTCTAAAAGTTCACGGACCACCGGAATTTCCCGTGCAAGCCGGGAAAATGACCCGGTAGGAGCCAGAATATCGTGTTTCGGACGTCGGAATGGCATCAGTGGTATTTTTATGTACTTTTGAATTCTGGAATGAATACTGCGCTCGAAAAGTTTATGACCAACTGAAATTTCTTTTTTGGGACCGGGAAAATGGCACCTCAGGGTCCCAAAGGGGGAATTCCAGTTGGCCATAAAAGTTTTTAAATATACCACCAATGCCATTGCGACGTCCGAAACACGATTTTCCGGCCCCTGACGGACGATTTTCCGGCTCCTGTGGTGCCATTTTCCCGGTACCAAACAAGAAATTTCAGTTGGTCATAAACTTTTCGAGCGCAGTATTCATTCCAGAATTCAAAAGTACATAAAAATACCACTGATGCCATTCCGACGTCCAAAACACGATATTCTAGCTCCTACCGGGTCATTTTCCCGGCTTGCACGGGGAATTCCGGTGGTCCGTGAACTTTTAGACCACAAACCCGACTTTAGAATGCACCTTCAACCACGCCTCATCTCGGAATCCACCTTTCAGGCCATATAGAGGCCATTTTTGACCCCTGGGGCTAATTTCAGACGTGGAGGGCCATTTATGAGCTTGGGATCGGATTTAGCGTCGAAAAATACATGGGAATACATATGTCCGACCGCCAAGTATGAACACTTTTTTTTATTTGTGGGGCTGTGTAATTATTGAATGAGAAATACATAGTATAAGTTCTAAAATATTGATCAATTAATATAAATCGAAATATAAAAGATCGAAAGACAAAATATGGAAAAAAAAAGATCGAATCACAAATTTTCGAAAAACAAAAAATCGAAAGAACAATTTTTCGAACTCCAATAGGTCAAAAAAAACATTGGGTAATGTGAAAAAATCGAATTATATATGACAAACTAAAATCCGCTAAACATATATGGGATAGTATAAAAGAGAAAGTATTGAAGGGAATTAGTGATTATATTACAAAACCAATAACATATTTAAATAATTTATCACTAGAGAAAGGCCATTTTCCAACAGCCTTTAAACTTGCCACAGTAAACCCAATTTTTAAACAAGGAGAAAAAACAGTTAAGGCTAATTACAGACCGATTTCAATAATTTCCTACCTGGCCAAAGTATTCGAAAAAATCATACAGCAGAGGTTAAACAAATTGTTGGAAAACCCAGTTGTTATCTGACTCGCAATATGGTTTTAGACAAAATAGATCGGGGAAAGGTACTTACTAAGAAAATCTATAATAGTCTTGATAAGTCCATGGCGTCCATTGGCGTCTTTATAAATTTGGCAAAGGCATTTGATACTATAGATCATTCTATTTTACTAAATATTCTAGAAGACATGGGTATAAGAGGTACTGCACATAAACTTTTTAAAAGTTATCTGACTGATCGAAGTCAAGAAGTAAAAGTAGGTAATAGTTTAAGTAGCGCAAAAATCATTACTTGTGGGGTGCCCTTAGGGACGGTGTTGGGACCTATACTTTTTAATATTTATTTAAATAATAATAATAATAATAATAATAATAATAATAAATAATAATAATAATAATAATAATAATAATAATAATAATAATAATAATAATAATAACAATAATAATAATAATAATAATAATAATAATAATAATAATAATAATAATAATAATAATAATAATAATAATAATAATAATAATAATAATAATAATAATAATAATAATAATAATAATAATAATAATAATAATAATAATAATAATAATAATAATAATAATAATAATAATAATAATAATAATAATAATAATAATAATAATAATAATAATAATAATAATAATAATAATAATAATAATAATAATAATAATAATAATAATAATAATAATAATAATAATAATAATAATAATAATAATAATAATAATAATAATAATAATAATAATAATAATAATAATAATAATAATAATAATAATAATAATAATAATAATAATAATAATAATAATAATAATAATAATAATAATAATAATAATAATAATAATAATAATAATAATAATAATAATAATAATAATAATAATAATAATAATAATAATAATAATAATAATAATAATAATAATAATAATAATAATAATAATAATAAATCGTCTTTATTATTTTCAAATACACAGTAAACAATTATAAATTACAATAATTATATTCTTTGGCGTAAAATGCGTAAATGAAAATAAAGGGCGAAGTTTATTTTTATTGTCGAGTAGACAATAAAAATATTCTTCCACTTAACCTTTTCCTTCTCAACACGAACTGTGATATTATGAGTTTTGCGGATGATACGGTGTTGTTTTGTGAAGATAACAACTGGTTTAACCTAAAGTTAAAAATCAAAGCTCCTCTATTTACCTTTAAAATCCAGTCATACATTGCAAAGAAACGTAGTGCACAGCTATTTTGTAAATGAACCGACATGCGTTCCCTGGTGCCCTGTTGCCAGGCTGTGTAGTTTATACGTTTCATATTTAAAAATAGGTTTTACCTATAACTCACTAATAGCAACAAGTTTTATTAATTAGAATAGTTTCAAGATATATTGCGACACATCAAGCATCCCCACCAATTTATTTTCGTACCTAGTGTGCAGTCTTTCCAACTCCCACGCATTGTGGGCAGAGATGTTGCATTATTTCCCGAAACATTTCTAATAGTAAGTCTCTAAATAAAATGAAGCAACAAAACAAAAAACGTATAAAATTTGTACAAAGTAGATTAAGCTATTTTAACTGCTTTTAGCAGACTTGATATTTTAGCTACAACTGTTTTTACACCATTATGTAGGGCATTTTTGAACCTATCGTTTTTACATACATACGCTTGCTAAATAACAACTTTGCAAATACAAAGATAAATTACGGCAAACAACATTATTATTCGTGCAAATAAATGCAAGGATTTTAAAAGCGTAAACGTGACACCACCGAAATTTAAAATAACCTTGTTTCATTCCTACTATACGTATAGTATTTTATCCATCAATAGTTTGCGACGTTGCGATCCAGTAAATTGTTGCAAAAAACTGGAAAATGTGGATGCTGAAGTATCTTTTCATAAGAAGGTAAGGTTAGGTGATGATGTATTGCATAGTTCAGTGGTTTACATTTAAAGATTTTTGCCCTAATATCCACATGTATTATCTAGTTTTGTTTTACTAATAATTGTTTTACTATTAATTGTAATTAATAGAAACACTTTAGTCTGGACTATAGTAGTAAAATAAATACGCTTATGCTTGATTTTTAGATTCCCAACTGAAAGGTACACAAAAAATATTTGGCTATCACTTGAAGAAAATGAAGGTATCCAAAAAAGAGTGTTATTCTCGGAACATTTTGACCCTAATGATATTTTTCAAAACCAAATGGCGCAAAATATCTCAATCATAGAGCACTGCTAAAACTAAGGTCTTCATTGTTTCGAGAAAGCTCATTTAGACAACTAAAAACTTTCTTAATTATGTTTCGGAAATATTCATTTAAGTGTTTATCCTTTTAGATGAAAGTTGGTAGTTTATCTTACACAGAAATTGTTATATTGTAAGTTCTTTAAATTTTGTAGGTTCTTAACAAGGGCAAACTTTTTTATAAACTCATATTACATGCCTCTTTTTTTGATTATTTTCATGGACTTTATATGTAATAAATATTGTATTATTTTGGAAAAAATAGTGTTTTTAAGTTTTTTACCTACATTCCACTGAACTTCATACCCTTATTCCAAATCCAATCTGTTTTAAAGTTTAAACCATTATAAAGTTTATTGTACACTA